TGAGGAAGGAATCCCTCAAAACAATCTCGGGTTCCTCTTCCTTATCCTTGCCGGCACCAGTGTCTTGCCGTTTCTTCATTCTTTCAGCCACGTGAGACACGCTGGATCTCTTGCGGCGTTGAACTACCGGCTCGTCGGGCACCTCCTGCCCTCCTTGAGAGATCTCCGTCTCAACCACAGATTCATCCACCGGCGTCATTATCTGCCGTAGTGGCTCTACTTCCAAAGGTGGGACGTCGGTAACTGCTGGCTCGCTCGCAATAGCCGGTGTCGGTTCTACCCTGGTTGATGACGGCTCACCGACAGCACCCTGAGGTCGGTTGGGATTTTTCTTCCATGCCTTAAGAAGATTCAGACGTCCAGCCATCTCGGTTGATCGAAGATTCTTGTTCTTTCCGACTTTGTTTTTCAAATCCCAATTCGGATTGCGTCTCCGATGCTCTTCAGCTTCTGTGGGATCCCCGAAACCGAAGTATCCCAGCAATGGGTAATAGACTGTCGCAGTCAGCTTAAAGTTAGAACGATATCGTTAAATACGAGGAACGATACGAAATGAATGAAACAAATAGAGGAGATTACCTGGTAGGAATGAAGAATTAAGTACTCCAGGCGATAATCCAGCCAACTCCAAGCGAGAATCCTTCACGAGTCGTTGATATCGGCGTTTGTTGGCGGACACCTCAAACAACTTGTCTACTCGATCGTACAGTAGACCTTCAAACTTCGGTTCCTTCTTCCCAGTCGGTTTTGCTACAAGGTCACAAAAGTCCACCTGTTAGCGACAACAAAAAACAAAGTATTAATAACCGAAGTCAAGAAAAATGAAAAAGCAACTTACAATAACCAGATTTAGCGGCCATTGGGATGCTTATCCCATCGGCAAGGAGATCATTAGCGAAGTCGGGGCACTGCCAGTCTCCCCCGACCCATAACCATTCCTCTTGGAACCCATGAAGAGTGTCCGGGACCTCCATTATTAGCTCACCGACTTTAATCCTTGGTTGCGGCTTCCCGACAATTGAGAAGGTGAGAAGCGGGTCCGACACTTGTCTATCCGGACTCTTTCGGAATGTGAACATGCTCCTCATGTCCTTTGCCGACGGCAGATCCCATTTTTTCTCAGCAAAAAGCACTAACAACCCGATGATTCGTTTCCACGAATTTGGAGCAATTTGACATATCGGGAATTCCCAGTCCCGTAAGTATTCAGTGATTATGCGCGGCAAAGGGAACCGTAAGCCCGATCTCAAGCTCTCAGCAAACACGCCAACACAATTGGGTGGGGGACAAGTGATCCTTTCCCCCGGATACGGAGCGAACAGATATACCGACGAGGGGACTCGAATTTCACCTCGTAGCATAATGATGTCGGCGTCGGTTAGAATACTTGGCTCTCCGTGAGATGTTATCTCTGGACTCGGCCACCTCCTGATAGGTCGTCTCCAAAACCTTGGGTCGTCGACGGCATTTTCCTCTACTACTTTGTCCCCTTCACCATCATTCAAACGGATCTTCAACCGTTCAACAAACACCGGATCCCACCGGTTGTACTCGGACAATAGTTCTAACTCCCCGGAGTGAACCATATTGATCATCATCACGTCCAATTCGTTGTCACCCGAAGACGCCCAGGATGCGCTCATGATGTTTGACGAAAGGAAGAAAAATCGGTGTAAATAGATAAAATATAAAAAGGAATTCTTACCACAAGAAGTCTTCCGAGAATCTGAATTGCTTTGAGTACGGATATCAGGAGATTAATTTGCAGAAGAAGCAGAAAATATGAGTGCACAAAGAAAATGAAAGTAAAGTAGATCTCGAAAGCGAAATTCCTATTTATATTAAAGCCCTAGATCGATGCGACCGTTGAAAACCGATGGAAATAGGGGCACGTGAAGTGCACATGCCAGATCTGCGAGTCGACGCAACCTTTGGAAATCGTGCCTCTTCATAATGGCTACGTGGCCTATGTTCAGTGACCGTTTTCCCTATACATAAAACGGTGCAATTAATTTCAAGAAAGCCTGCCGTTTCAACTTTCGAATGTTATTTTCGCAAGTGCTAAGACGTCGGGTGCAAATGGCGAAACCGACATATCGCGTCAATACGGGAATTTTGTCCAGGTCCGTTGCAATTTCAGCATCATTGCCCGTCTTTTATCCAGACGACCATTAATGCTGGGGGCCACCTTGTTGATATCATTTTCTGTAAGCCGAGCTAAGCGACGCTAATCCGTTGATCGAGACCAATATGATGATGATTAGAGTTCATACGAGCACGAGACACTTCTACCAGCTTCAAGATGGTTACACAATGAAAGATTTAGCGGAAACCGATATCCTTACTAAGCTGACCGATATCACATGTCGGTCAACACATGTCGGTCAACACATGTCGGTCAGCACATGTCGGCTACTACATGTCAGCCACGATGTATCGGTTATAACTAGGTGGACCGATATCTATAACATGCCAGTTCAGCATGGTAAGGCGGTGACAACTCAGCATAATTCATCATTACGCTTATCCAAGTGGCAAGCTAACAAGAGGAGCCGTCGAAAACCGCCTTTGACCATTCAAATGTAATGATTATTGTACAGATAATTATGGTATGTAAGTATAAAAGGGAAATAGAGAATTTCCCAAACAGACGAGAATACCATCCTGCTACTAATTGCATTTCCAAATCCAATATACAAGCTTTCCATCGCTAACATTTGAATTTACTTAAACTATACCTCAATTTGGTTGTTGTTAATTTCTATGTAACAACAAATGTAACAATCCAATTAAATACTCAGTTTATAAATCACTAAATCGATTCACAATAAAGAGAATGAAAGAGTAAATCATTATAAATCAACTCTCTCTCTGCGAAAATCCCCAAACCGTAACCTAGCCCTTTTCATTCCGACGATTGAAGCTCCCTTGCCGTCCATCCCGGTTCGTCAGCGGACAGCCTCTGTCGCTCGTCTTTGGCGGGCCCGCCCTTGGTTCATTCGCTGAAGCCCGGCTCTGTTCTGCGGGTCGACAATCGAAGGAATTTCTCCTCCATGGTTGGTCGCCGGCGTTCTGGTGCTGTAGGCGGTGGACGGGGAGCGGTGCTACTCCATGGATGAGGCTGGGTTCACTGTTTTTGGCTCGGTTTTTGGACGCTTCTTCATCACCTTGCTTCCTCCTCTCTCCACAGGTCAAGATTGTGCCTTTTCGCCGGCGAAGCTGCGATGGGCAGGGGCCTCGTTCTTCTCGTCGGTTGGCTTTGTCAATTGGAGGTTTGCCCTTGTCTTTGCGGCTTTTGTCTCAGTATTTTATTTTATCTGCGACCGGAGGGATCTCGGTTCTTCCTCGGCGATCTGGAGTCGGTTGTTCTCGATTGGGGGTTGTAGTTGTGGCTGGGGTCAAGGTGCTTTCGGTTATAGCTCGGCTGCCGGTTGTGCTCAGCCGTTTGGGGCTCGGTTTATTGGTCGCTGTTCTAGGCGGGCTGTTCCAGTGACGCCAAGCCGTGTCTGTTTAGGCACGTGATTGGAGTGCGGGCCACCTCTTAGGTGGGCTTAGGGGCTTCGGTTATCCGTCTTGCTAGGCCTTAAGCAGTGGCGGGCGGTCGTTTCCGTGCCTGTGAGCTGGCTTTGGAGTTGGTTTGTTTGCTGCGCATCTGGATGTTTTCGGTGGGGGAGGTTGTGCCTTGCGGCTTAGTTTAGTTTGGTTTCACTGTTTTTTAATATTTGTTTCTTTTAGGTTGGTGTTTTTGGTTTGGGCGTTAGCGTCTGTGAACCCAAGTGTCACCTTATTATCCTTATGGGATCCGACACTCGGGTATTACCCTGTTGGGGTCTCTTTTAGTTGTTGTTAGTTGTTTTTAGTTTTTTAGTTGGTTAGTTTGTTGCGAGCCTTATTCTAGCGTTGCTAGTCGGGATTCTAGGCGGTCTTCTGACCTGTCCTCCCACTTTTCAGCTGTTGGCTGCTGTGTATTCAGCCGTTGGCTGCTGTGTATTCGCACATTTGTGCATTTTGATTTATATAATTATCTGTCGTTTTGGAAAAAAAAAATCATTATAAATCTATACTATTATAAAAGGATGAGTGATGTTGTAAAAAGATAATATGCCTAAAAATCTTTATTTTGACATATTTTTAATAACAAATTAGTAATACAATAATACCCATCATATTTTAAATTTTGGGTTAATTGCATAAAAAACCTTAACCTTTTATTTAATTACAAATAAAACTCAACTTTTTCAATTTGGCAAAAAATACAAAACTTTTATTAAGTGTTGCAATTTTGTCTCACCCGCCGAACCTCCGCCAACCGCCGCCACCAACCGCTACCCGCCGCTGGCCAACTTCGCTGGATATTGAAAATTTTTACATGATTTTTTAGCTTTCCTCCGTGCCGACAACATATCCGAGTTTCACAAAATATTCCGACGATAAGGCTTCCAATTTTCCGGTCTAAGGTCGTGGATCTACAAATTTTCTCCGACCTTTGACCGAAATTGGAAGCCTTATCGTTAGAATTTTTTCGTAAAACTCAGATATGTTGTTGGTACGGAGGAAAACTACAAGATCATGTAAAAATTTTCAATATCCGATGAAGTTGGCCGGCGGCGGGTGGCGGTTGGCGGCGGTCGAGACAAAATTGCAACACTTAATAAAAGTTTGATTTTTTTTTGCCAAATTAAAAAAGTTGAGTTTTATTTGCAATTAAACAAAAAGTTGGGATTTTTTATGCAATTAAATCTTAAATTTTTAATTAATAAGTGAACTACCTAAAAAACTTTTATTTTGATTTTTTTTTTGGTACAGGGACCTTCCGGTTTCCGAATCTACAGGGGAACCGACTAATACTAATCATATTTTATAATTTTATTATATAATATTTTTTTAGAAAACTGATCCAACAAAATAGCATAATAAATACTATAACGAATTCAAATATTTTCCAATAATGTTGGAAGCAAAAATGTAACCCTATACCCATCACACCGTAAGAAGCAAAAATGTTTTCGACCCCTTCTAAGGAATCCTCCTTCGGTGCCCGCAAAAATGTCGCTAACCGGAGAGACGACGATTCCACTCCGGTGGCCGGCAACCGGAGACCACTGCTCGACAGCCCAACCGTCCCAAACCGCCCCGCCACTGGGACCCCCGCCCCTTGGGCCTCTCGCCTTTCCGTCTTCGCTAGGTCGTACCTCTATTACGTGCTTATGCTGTGTCATTCTCTGTCATTTTTCCTTGACATATAATTTTTTTGGAGTAGAACAAAAGGAAATGAGAAGAGATTTTGTTGGGGGTATGGATGCTCATACAACTTTGGATAAGGATACTAATTGAACTGTAGCGCTGTAGGTGACTGAGTTGAGTCGGGTAGTTTATTTGTGTGTCTTGTTTGTTTGTTTGGGTTTGATTTAACTGCTAATCTCTTTATGTGCAATGGTAAACTACCCTAGGACATAGTGTTTAGCTTTTGGTCTTTCAATCACATCTTGCAACTTTTGTGATTTTGTTCCAGTAGATAACTTTGAACCCAAGAATATCTACATTAGCTTCTATTTGTTTGTTTGTAGGCTAATGTTTACAGTTGAGGGACACTACAAAAGCTTAAGCACCAGTTCTATAAAGATGATCATGGAAAATCCATATCCTGTCCAAGTTTTCTTGTAGGCAGAGTCGCCTTTCATACTTCAGAGCCACTTTCCTAAAGTTCTTCTACTCTATTCTTCTGGAACAGAACGGCTTAAAGTTTCTGTCGTACTTGATTTTTACTCGAATCTTGTAGTACTCTCAAAGATACTACTCGAATCATATTCTAATGCTATCACAGCAAAAGTCGATCGGAAAGAAGATCATCGAAGTCTGTTAGAGGAGTACTCAAAATGTAGAGATACCCTTCTCGACTCCCTTTATAAGCAAGTGAAAGATTTCATACATGCAAAGTTACAGGTAACTACTTTGAATTAATTTTTGCTTGTGGCGTCATATGAGGTTTCAGAACTGACAAAATGGTCGAATACATATTTCGCAATATAATTTTATCCCTTCAATTTAATTTATCCTCATACACCTTCTCTAATAGTAAACATTTTCACTGGAGTTATGTAGCATCCCAGCTTATATATTTTGCTTTTATTTGCTATTCATTTGTTGATTTATTTGGATGCATCTATAATCGTTACCTGTTTTGCCGTGGCAGGATTCACCTGAGGAAAATGAGGAATTGAATAAGGATACTCTGATGACATTTTCTTCAAAGTTATTGTCAATTGCAAAACGTCATGAGGGCTATCAGGCTATGTGGAACATATGCCGTGATCTCAACGATTTCGAACTCCTCCATGAGTCTCATGTGGTACCACAAGCCCATTTCTTGCAGAAGACAAATTTTGTCTCTTGACCCCACTATATATATATATATATAATGCTTTTGATGCGTATTTTGTTATTAAAATGCTGCTCATTTATTTATTTTCATATGAGCTTTTAATAAGAATAATAATTTGAACTTCTGTTTTGCAGCATGAAAACATCAGACCAAAAGGAGGTTTCAGTTGCTTTGTATTCAAACAATTCTATGATAGCATACAATTTTCAGAACTAATGCTGCAGGGTGAAAAGTTTCTTGACGAGCTTGCTACAATTCTGAGGCAGCATCCCGATCTTCTTTGGCTTCACGAGTTGTTTCTTCGTCAATTTTCCTCAGCTTCTGAAACTTTACATGCATTATCTAATTTATCTCTTCCTAAGGCTAATAGATCAGTTTCAGATACTGATGAGACTGAACCTAATGGCCCACAACCTAAATTAACTTTGGCTTGGAGAAAGCATTTTTTGAATCTCGCAAAACTATCAGCTATGGCAGGTACTGGCTATCCAGCTGTAATATGCTACAAATTCTTATGATTGTGATTGCTCTTTGGCTGCGTGATCTATATTAAAAATTGTGCCCTTCAAAACAAAGTATCGAATAGGGTATTTAGGGTTTCCTTTAATCATATAGTCCAATGCCCTAGAGGAAATTTAAGAAGTCCAAAATTTGTGGTAGATGTAGTGTCAACCCTTGTTTCTGGTAGAGTATGTAATACTTAATTTTGTGTCCTTTATCATTTTTGACCATGTTGTTTGCACCTGAAATGGTGATACCAATCTGTGAATCTGTCAGGAAGAGAAGTTGGTGACGAGCTAAAGGTGAAGCGTATTGAAGCTGATCTGAATTTTCTACAAGTACAGGTATTTAGTCCAATTCGCATGTTTGTTTTGTTAACTGACATGGAAAAAAAAAAAAATGGCGAGACCAATATGTTGGGATGTAGGTTATCTATATTGTTTTTCATATTTTTATAACATGCCTAATCACTTGATCCAAATACTCGGAATAATATTTTCACTGGACTAACGCTGTCTTTTACTCTTAAAGGGAGAAATAATGAGGTTTGTAGATGATGGTATGGCCAAGAAATTTATGGTACAGAAGCTTCTTGGTTCGCTGGATCTCATCAGAACGTGTCTTAGAATCAAGAAGCGAGAGCTTTCTTTGCGACCCTTCGATATATTCTTGTGGATGAATGCGTCCTTTCTCAGAAGCTACGCAATTTTTTTGGAGGAGTGCTGGAGAAATGATGCAAGTCAAGATGATTGGGAGAGACTGTACAGCTTGTCCATGACTGAGGGCTGGAGTGACGAAAGAACCTTTAAGGCTCTCGAGAAAACTGTACTATTCCATGCTTCCAGAAAATGTTATGGGCCCCGCTCAAAAAAATTTAATATGAAATTCGATGAGGTGCTCCCGTTGAGGAAGGGAAGGAATATAGGCGCGTCTGTGGAACAAGTCATCATCGAAGAAGTCATCATGGAGCACAAGGATTATCCACATGTGGGCAAGCTGATGCTGACCGCTATCCTGCTCGCGAGTGTTTGACCAAGGGCCTCGTATCATGGAGTGAAGAAATCGAATGCATAATTATTATATGTATAATTATTATATGTGTATCAGTTTCATAAAGCTTGTTAGTTTGTACACATTCAAATCTTGAGCATGTATAGTTAGTATATGTTAGTTTGTACACATTAAAATCTTGAGCATGTATAATTATTATATGTTAGTTTGTACACATTCAAATCTTGAGCATGTATAATTATTCTAATTATTACTAGGAGCGAAAATGCCTTGCAACGCACGGCGGGCCCATGGTCTTTGCATAATTTTTGTGAATGTGTATTAAATTAATTTTAGAGATATGTTTTAGTGAAACTTAAAATAAAATATCAAAAGTATATTTATTAATCATTGTTTTATTATTTTATATTTTTTTGTGTTTTTACTTTTTTTTTTTTTCATAATTTTTGTCAATGTGTATTAAAATTCTTCTAGGGATATGTTTTGACGTTGTTTTTTTTTT